GTAGTAAGTTACATAGTAGCAAATAATAAGTAATATATGTTAAAAGTATTCTATAGGATATTCATTTGATAAGGAAAATGATGGAACAAAGTATTTTACTATAAAAAAAGAACCTAAACTAAATAGAAAACTACTGAAATATAGAAGAATTAATTTATTTAACAAATAAATCTTTTTCTGTTGGTTCATCTATTTCACTTTGTGTTGATCGTTTAAGTGAATCAGAACGTCGTAAAGTTGAACATCTTGAAAAATGATGAATTGGAGAATCTGATGGGTTTGAAGTTGTTGGTGAAATGTTTTTATGAATTTTTATTGCGTTATCAACAATATTTGGTAAAATTAATGTTGGCGGTTCAGGATTTATTAAATCTTTTAGAACTGATTTTCGATGACTTTCACTTTTGAAACGTTTTGCATCTTGACGAGCTAAATTTCTCTTTTTTATTTTTCGTCTGTCTCTGTTTTTATAAGAAAAAAATCAATAAACAAATAATGGTGTATTGAATTATTGAAGTTATTTTTAGAAAATAAAATTGATGTTTTAAGGTTAAGAAATACTGAATTATAACTGACAAATTTATAATGAATTTTTCTAAAGAATAAACGTAACTTTTGCTTTAGTCACGTATTAAAATCTTTGAACACATTATAGGTTATAACCACTCATCATATTAATAGAAATCTGTTACCTTGTCAACATTTGTTACTCTAGGAATGACAATATAAATTTATCATAAGTGTAGATGTAAACAGTGTGAAACTATGTTAGGGGAAGAGAGGGGAGAGTTGAATCATAAACTGCATACAGTATCCCATATTGTATTATATAACAACACTGAATTAGTCAGTATTAACATTGCAGTCTGATTCATATATATATATATATATATATATATATATATATCAAAATGCACCCAGTTTCACAAGTTAGTGGCCATTGTGACTCTGTAGATAAGTAGAAATCGTAGTGATATTTCTAGAGAACGGTGCTGATTTATAGTCCAGGCGTGAGCATAAACCATAGGATGCAAGTACATCCGGCTGATGAGTCGGAAACAGATGGAAACATACTGGACTCCACCGCTAGCAACTATCCATCTCCGTTTGAAATTATAGCCTAATATTCCATACAAAAGATGCCGCCTGTTACATAATTAATTGACTGACTTATTCATCCGAGAACCTGGCTTTGTGATAGTAATATTTTAAAACTACACAGTTCATTTTATCAGTTTCTCAACTCCATATAATTAATGCTTCACCTTCTTTTGTGTTTTTGAATCTCATCTTCAAATGATCTTACAGTATATATTTTTGTGATCAACAAGTACTGTTACTCCAATCCTTCCCGTCACTTATATTCAGAATATTATATTGTATCACTTATAGTTTAATACAACTACGATTTTAAGCGGTTAATGAGAAATCATGAAATCAAACGAATTCATTCAATTTTATTTCAATTGTTGTTTTGGGTTTATTAAAACTCAAAAATGGAACCAGTTGTATGTAATTTATCGTTGTCTAGCTAATCGCTTTAAAATATATATACGTCGAATAAACACAAGAAATTACTGGTCATAAATGAAAAGCTAAAATCTGATTTAAATCTACAAAAATTTGTTCTCTACGTTTAGATTATCATAATGCTGTTACACATCTTACAGATACAATCTTAATTGTAAGTAGATTAAAAAAAACTAATGATGATGATTCTTAATTTTTTTTACCTTAAAGTATACTTGAGTCAAGTTGTTCAATATGATCTGGCGACCTGCTTGAATATCTAGGCTACTTGCTCCTGCCATCTAGATATTTCAACAAGTTAACTGACTTTTGTTTGTTTTAACAAATCATGATGATTGTTAATCACATAACCTATTTAAGAGCATTTAGAAGTGTTTACGACCTGTCGCTGTGCAACTTCGTTGTACAATCAGAGACATCGTGGTTGTTAGCAATATCCATTGAAAAAAGGAACAAAATTCATATATTGATTCTTGAAATCGCTTACATCTAACTGGCGATCACTCAATATTTCTTGTCGGAATCGATCAAGACATAAGAAACGGAAACTTATTGAAATACTTTGCACTGAGAATTCTATATTGTACCAGAAATATAATACTGAATATAGCTAATAATAATAATGTTATGATACTTGACATCAGATATAAAGATCAAAATTCTAATCTTATTACAGATAATAAGTAAATGAACACTGTAAAGAAATCTTAGATAACTTGATAAGATCTATTCATTCTTACTTAAGGATGAATTTTTTAAAAAACTCCATAATGAAGAATATTATTATCTCAATTAAACTAACTAAAACACAGAGTGAATTGGTTACAGTTTCCATAATTATTCTTGGTATATTTATTAAAGTATAATAATTCAATTCATTTCTAATATATTTAATCTAATAGAACATTTCTCATTGTTAGTATGAAATTATATTTGTTAAATTAAGGAGCATTCCACACAAACAATTCAATAATTGTATTTATCTCTAACGTAATTATTTAAAAGTAATTTCCCATAGGTTCATTAAAGAAGATTTTAATAGAAGTGTTCATTCTACATATCTCATTGATTTATATAACTATGTAGTAATGTGTACTTTAGATTACCATATACTTTGTACAAAGAATATTATTGGAAGTTTATAAGAAATAATGTGTGATAAAACATTGTTTTATGATGACTACTTTTGGTATATTGAAGTTGATAATAACATGACTTGAATGATAACCCCACTGAGAGTGCTTAGAATCTCATTGACTTTGTAAGTAGGTACGTAAAGCTGACAATAGTTTCCATATACTGTAGGCAAGTCAGAGAATATCTGGATCGATTATTAAAATCCAAGATCCCTGAAATAAACTAAACTGGTCACAATGTTATTGATCATTAGAAGCTTATTGCTTAAGACGGGAATTGTGGGAGTTTGTGAGTTCGGGTTGAAAAACCTTGAAAGTATAATAAATACTTTCAAAATTCTCTAAAGGTTTCCATTATTGTAAAAACACAGATGTATAAAAGGAGAATATTCCTTTCGATAAATCCTCATTAGGTTCTACAGTAAAAAATACGTTTATGATAAACATTTCCTTTAGACATTACAGCATATGAGTTCAGTATTACTAGTAAAATAAAATCAAATTTGAGTGTTGAAACTAATACTATACAAAGTTAACTCAATTTAAACTATGAACATTCTACAATCTCCACAAAGCGTTATACTGGTAATAATCATGTGCTCACTGGGGACTAACTTCGAGAGGAAATTTCCAGAGTTCCAGTGGGAAGCCGTTACTAGTGGAGTACAGTCGTGTTGGGTGTGAAGAAGTTACCCACTAAATACAGTGGAATATAGTCACTCAGTATTGTGGATTGATTGAGCTTAAAAATAACCACGTTGAATGTCGATTCAGTGCTTTAAAGTTCAAGCATTTGCGTGCTATATTGAGAGTCTTGTGTTTGGTTCCTGGTAGAAGGATAGTGGTTTAGCGTTGATGAGGAGTCCCATACTGGGACGAGACGGCCGTCCCATGCTTCCAGGTTTTTAACGGTCTTCCAGCTAGGATCATTTCACGATTTAGGCTGGGAAAACCCTGAAATCTTCATTTAACTATCTACTGACAGCTTGATTATGTTTGTACGTTAACTGTAATTATGAGATTAATAATAAGAATAAATGTAGATACCACAGGAAAAGACAAATAGTAATGTGGTTATAAATTAGATCGGATGTTCGTCCAATGATTAGGGCAAGTTTAAAATGATATGGAATAAGGAATAATGATTGGAGTGGGGTTGAGTGCCAATTAAATTCTGCCTGTGTTCAAAAGAATCATAAAAATAATAATGATACAAATATGTGTTAAAAATCGTTAACAGTAACATTCTAATAGGAAAAATCTTTTAAAAAAGTACAAAGGCAAGGTATTTATGGACACTGGTCCCAATAGGGTATTTTATAATCATGATAAACTATCGACTTGTTGGATTTGAGGTTGGCCACGATAAGAGAAGAGATTAAATGAGCTTTCCTTGTATTCAGACTGTTTTTAATCCGAGTAGCTATTTCTCTTGGTTTTTGTAGGATTCTGATTCTAACATGATTGATAATTGCTTTCACGTTAACTTACAATAACTGACGAATTTACGCGAGGAGTATGAGGCATTTGAACAAAATAAGTCAAGATTACACTTTTGTCTTTTAGTCTCCGTATCGCTATCGAAAGTATGGCAATCAATTATGATTTTGTTAAATAATGTCATCAAATAAAGAGATGACGACAGTATCTATATCTCATGCATATATTTAACAGGTAAATCTATTTGCTCGTACAATGTGTTTTATCTAGTTTGTTTACCATCATTAAGATTTGAATTTGAAATATTTCAATATGTCTTATTACAAAAGGGATTTAGTGGAGATTGTAGTAATTTAATGGTTGAATCCACGAGTCGATTAAATCTAGACCACCATGGAAATCCTGGAAGCACTGGACGGCCGTTTCGTCCTAGTATGGGACCCCTCAGCAGTGCTATTAATAGATGTAAGACCGATAATCATGACAAGAATACTGAATTATTTCTGTATCCTATGTTTTCATGCAAACCAACAAAATCCTCTTAATTAATTAGTAATATAAAAAAATTATTAAGTCATTTAAAAAGTACATTGCCAACCTTAACTGAAATGATGATTCAAAAGACTGATCACTTTATTAAATATTGATTTATTTTACTTGTATTCTTACAGTCACTCTGTTTACTGCAGTATGATAAACATATCATCTTTAAAATCAATTAGAAATATTAACTAAATGACATGGATTTTATTATTATGCTCAATGGTTTATAAAGTGACTTCAAATTATTCGATTTCAAAGGAGAGATAAATATTATGGCATTTGTTTTGGACAGTTTAGTAAACTTGATTAAGTAAGATAATAGCATAACCACGAAGTCAAATACTTTGGTATTTACGGTTTGATGAAAATGATGTTTAATATAGACTAGTAAACAATTCATCACCAAGAAAAATAAAGATCAAGAAATTTATACTATTTCACAATTTGAGCTAATGATACTGTGGTGTTTGAATGAACTAATGATTCCATTATACTTGTTGAATGCTTGATTTCGAATTCTAAATACAGTACATTCGTTTGTGGTTATCTAGTACTTCTTGATCCGATTGCGTTATTTCTGTGATTCTTAGTTCATACTATAATTCAAATACTCCTGAATATTACAGATACTGATAATCAGAATGTATAACAATGGTCACTTTACAGTTGCTGATTGGCATATACAAATCAGTTCACATACAAGTATTCATCTCTGATTAAGTTCATAGATGATCAGATTTTGAGCCTATCAATTGGTATCAATATCTTTGAGCTTTCAAAAATTCCTTACTAAGGAGAACAAATTAACTTTACCTACTGGTTTAAATCTTTCCATCATTTATCTTTAATCACCAAATATCTGAACTATTCAGAAAACTTATAAATAAGTTAAATTATAGAATTGATTTCAAAAGGAATTCAAAGTAATTTTACAATTATTTACTTTAACTTAACTGATATACTTAAATCATCCTCATCACTTAACATAACTTACATAATCGCTTTTATGATTGATACAATCCAACAGGCAACATTAATAAGACCAAATATAACACCAAATATAATAAATGATTTAGTTGTAGTTTTACGATAGGATTCTAATAAAATTGGATCAATAGTTGTTTGTCTTGTTGTTTCAGTTAATTTACTTATATCCTCATTTGTTAATAAATAATCTTCACCACTAACAAGATAAATCACCATCATTATTGTTATTAAAAAAATTATTATATATTTAATTATCTCATATTCACAACAGCACATTATTAAATTATAATCTCTATATATTGAAGTATTTCAAATGAAAGAAAAGTTTTGATTTACATCAAGATCGTAGAATTAGTCGGTCAAAATCGACTATTATCAAGATGATATTACACAGTAGTATTAGATTTATTTATGATACTTTCAATCAATCAATTACTCACTATCTCTTTATATATATATATATATATATATATATATATATATATATATATATATATATATATATCTGAATAGAAATGTACACCTTTGTCTTGCGTATTTCATTTTATATTTCTTTTAACAATATCATAGGTTAATCTAAAAAAATCGATATGATTGTGAACTTTTTTATTGATTTTTTGTTGTACAGATCTATTTGTATGACATAGAATTTTGTTTTACAAAAGGTAGTACATATGAATCTATTTAAACATGATAAATATTTTAATCGTTATACCTTTTTTGTTTATTCAAAGTAAGACTTAAGAATGTAACATTGAATTATACGATTAAATATAATCTAAATTAATGTTATTTTCTTCTAAAACTATAATGGTTTGCTTTCAAAGTTGGCCAGACACTACCAGCAACAACCTACTATAGGAGAGAAAAAACCAGATACTAACGGACGAAGAGATCAGGAAGAAGCGCTATAAGTGAATAGGACACACATTGAGGAAAGCACCCAACTGCGTCACAAGGCAAGCTCTCGCATGGAACCCTCAAAAATTAAGGGAAAGAGGAAGACCAAAGAACACATTACGCCGAGAAATGGAGATAGACATGAGAAAAATGAACAAGAATTGGATGGAATTAGAAAGGAAGGCCCAGGACAGAGTGGGTTGGAGAATGCTGGTCGGCAGCCTATGCTCCATTGGGAGTAACAGGTGTAAGTAAGTTTTCAAAGTTGATAAATTTAATCAGTAATAATTAGAATAAACTGTGATCTATTGTTTTTGCAATAGCTTGGTTTAACTATTGAACACATCTGATTGATATGTATGTAATTTCTAACTACTCTGATTAGTCAACAGTATACACTCACTAACAATTTTACATAGTTATAATGTAATTCAATCATATAATGTAGATATTTACTATACAAATAATCTATATTTATGTTTCGAAACGTTTTGTGTGATTCCATTAACCGATTCAAATGAGATGAGGATTGTCTAAATTTTGACATTATATGAGTAACATAAACAAACGAGATGAAAAACCGAATCAATGAAATAATTCACTGTTTAAAATTACTTAATTGTCAACTTTTGTATGTTTGTGTTTGTTATTACTACTCGATTTCAATGGTTAAATATAGTAGAGGGGTGCGAAGTTGAACAGTTTAAGGTTTCTCATATATTTTTCTGTTACACGTAAAATCATTTAGTGAATGTAAGTACACCATATGTTCAATATAAAAGTTAATGTAGGGGATAAGTTTAACACTCGTCTATAAATGTCTTCAAATAATGAAAAGTAAAATAATATCGTTCAGTGAAATAACTAATCTATCAAACTTGAAAGAATGATGAAAACTCATAATGAATATTTGAGCAAAATAATGTAACATTGTTAGATCGCAACAGGTTTACATCACCGAAAGCATGAAAAGTCATAACGAATACGCTATCACTCATTTATTGTGTCACATAATACAGTTATAAATACCCTGACTTTAGTCCCTTCTTGATCGATCTGTTTGTTAGCTAATTTTACACACTTGATATGACAAAATGGGAACCTAGTAACATTTAATATTATTAAGGTGGGGGTTAAGACAGTCGGCAGGAAACTCTGAACCTAGGTTTCGTGGTACTTATTAATTCTCAGCATAGTATATTTGTCATCTTTAGGGGACTGACGTTCTACCAGGGAGCACTTTGATGACGAGTATTAGGTAACGCGAACTCAGCGTTTTCTGATAAATACAACCAACACCTTACATCTCAAAATTATGCACGCAATGTCAAGTCATGTAAACTAATGGCCACAATCAAACTTAATCGATAAAATTCGACCAGCATTAGGAAGGCTTCAACGAACTTGATATTAGTCATTACATAAGGATCAATCAACTGTAAATATAATATTACTAGTCATAAAATATGTTTATAATATCGACAAAATAATAATTGAATAAATCGCTCAGCTTCATTTTATAATTTTAAATAAAATTGGAGAACTCCTTCAATCATCATCAAAAAGATATGATTGTCTATAAATAGTTGTTTATGCAAGATACTCCGGACCCGTTGAACAGGCATCATAGGCAATAACCATTGTGGGAGAGAATAAACCCTCTTGTAGCTGAAAAGGAAATCAGGTAAAGATCCAGGACATGGATTGGATATACATTGTGGAAATTATCCAATTGTATTACGACGCACGTTCAAACCGAAAATCCTCAAAACAAAAAGAAAAGAGGTGGACTAAAGAACAGATTATGTTGAGAATCGGAGGTAAACATCAAAGGAATGAATAGCAGTTGACAAAAACTGGAAAAAAGAGCCCAAGATACAACTGGTGGGAGAAGCCTGGTTCGTAGCTTATTCTCCACCAAGCGTAATAGGTGTAAGTTTTGTCGTTCTGATAACTCAAACAATATCTAAACAATAATCATTTTATTTTTTCCTTTCATTCTAGAATATTTATCATTTTACCAAATACTCATTGTGCTGTGATAATTTTACATCTGTTATAGTATACTACTGTAAAAGCAATAAGTTATGATTAATATATGCGTCGAATAGAATTTATGTAATCCTGCATAAATTAGGCGGTTATATAACTTCTATTTAGTTGAAATCTATAAATAGATTATGCAATTATGGTTTATACAAAGAATAAAAGATTCAGCCGTTAGTTTTTCCTCTTCTTAAATACCAGATATTTTTAAAAAAATTAAATTTTAATACGATTTTATTTATTTTTTCATTTGATGTTTTTGTATTGATTTATTTCTTCACTATTATTCTCTATGGAAATGAACAGAATGATTTGTTCCTCATAGAAAATAGTCGTTATAACCATGACCAAATTGCATAATACTTAGTTACAAAAAATATTAAAAGAAAATTGTAAAATAATTCCTTTCATTAAAAAAGGGGATTCACTTTATATTTGAATATATTCAATGTAACGTTGTATAGTTAACAATATTATTCCTCTTTTCTATAAATAAATCATAAGGATAGATATTGCGAAGAAGTTAAATTGAGATAGTTTTCAGTTTGTTTTGATCTCTCTATCTATCTATCTATATATATATATATATATCTAATGAATTATTAATTAAGGACGTTTTTAATGTTAATTAATATTATGTATAGTATCCATGATATGGAGTAAATGTTTCATTAATGGATTACTGTATAGTTGATGGGATATTGTTTTTAGTAAACAAATTTTATTTATGTATCTTCATAGATAAGAATGTTGGTTTCATGGTTTCTGGGCTTTATAAGCTGCTTAAACAATTGCATAATATCTCAAGGTTTCTCGATGATTTTGTTGTTCATGTCCGAAAGAAAGTAATGGTTTTCATAAAATCTCGGATATACAGTGAAGATAATTGGCGACATACACGAAAATTACTTTTTCAAATAATCTAAGCTAAAGTTGAAAATTGGTGAGAAGAATTTTACTCATATTTCATAAGGAAACGAAGATACATCATATTGGTCACTAAAAAGTGGTAAGAGGCGGATTCGGGGTTGTAATCAATGTTTATCCAAATTTAAATAGAGCAAGAACAAACATTGATGCAGAATAGTATGAATTCATATTATTTCGAGGTTTCTCGTCAGCTGCTTACAAACCAAAATTGTGATAGAATTTTTACATGGAGATAGTGTGAAACAATTGACATAAATGAGTGTAAATAACGTGATTACAATAATAACTATATATATATGCTAGAAACAGGTCAGAGGTCAAAAGAGGGGAATTAATCCAGGATGGGTGGTGTAATAATTTAGTGAAGTTCATAAATTGTGTGATAATTGTAGAGATTAATGGAATTAAATAATGATATGGTAGATTACGTAATAATAATTAAATAGGGTTTGGAAAGTTGAGATGATTTAAGAGGATCAGGTGACGGAAATGTGTGAATAAAATTTATTTTACGAATCAGGTAATAAGGGGGGGAGTATAAATTATCTTAGAATAAGTAAATGAATAAAATAACCAAAACACAAAACAAACAGAAACAAAAAGATTACCAGGGTAGTGATAAGTTTATTAAAGTCTCTTTTTGGATGCATAAGTCCGGTTTCAGTTTCTTAATTGCAATGGCTTCAGCAAAGCGGAGAGTGGTAGTAGTTCTTTGTCTATTGATAATTTTAAACGCGCGCATAATATCGACGGTATGCCCGGTGTCAAGTAGATGCCGAGCTATTGCACTGTTAAAAGCTTTAGTCCCTCGCAGCGTCAAGTTCTTCGGAATATGCTCAGAAATTACTTTTTTTCATATCTATAGAGCTTTTGGATAGACATCAACCTAGTCATCGTACAAAAAACGTTGAGGTATACAGCTCACGTCATATTTATTTGTGAAGCCTGATGTAAGTAATATATTCTCTGGTATCATCAACTGAATTGATTTGCCAGCAGGTTTCTCAACTAAAATTTAGATGAACCGAAGCGAATGTCAGGTCGCAATTCAATCATTAGAAAAGATTAAACCAAGTGACAGTGTTGTCGGATCTAAAGAAATTTTAATGCATTATTCAGCCAGACTATAATTTATGAACAAACCAATCAAACTAAATGTGGCATATCTTGGATTTCGGCGCGAAATTGATTTATCCATGCAGTTAAACAGTATTTTGACATTATAACTAATGTCATTTCGTGATGAAAAACCCAACTTATATTCCTAACCGTAACCTGTAACTCTAAATCATAATCCTATTTCCTCACATTAATTTTAACATTATCAAGTAGGTGGATATCCTCATGGTCACTTTAGCATGTCTCAACGGTCGTCCATAAATTATAGTCCAATCCATCATTCGCTTACTAGTGTGTCATACATGCAGGGTGACCTATTTTTTGTCATGTCGCCCTTAGATCTGCAACATTTGATCGATGTAAACTAGTTCACATCCATCAGCGT